ATAATTGGGGAATTTTGGGGGTGTTTGGGGTTTGTTGTTGGTTTTTTTTTTTTTTTTTTTTTTTCTTTTGCATGGAGGACTATTGGGCAAGAGGCGTTTGAGTTGGGCCCAAGCCTGTGGGAATAGCAGACACCTTTTTCCCCTGAAAATAATTTTTGGATTTGGGCAGATAGCTCAAAAGTGGGGAGAAGTTGCTCAAATAAGAAAGGGGAGATGAAGGAACTGTCACAGCGTTGGACTGAGTCAGTTCCATGTTGGAGTCTCTTTGGGTTTAATGTTCTTTTTGTGTGTGTCTGTCCGTCTGTCTTCCTTCTCCTCCATTCCTCTTCCCTTCCCCCTTCCTCTTCCCCCCTGTGCCCAGCTAGGATGGAAGAATCTCATTTCAACTCCTCCCCGTACTTCTGGCCAGCGGTGCCCACCGTCTCGGGACAGGTAAGATCTTTGCCTTCCAACGCTGGTCTCGCTTCCCGTTAGAAGTTCACGCGTGATAAACGTTTCTGTTGCGTTTCTTGCTCAGCCAACTACTGGGAGAAGCTCTGCCAGGGTATCCTAAAAGCTCTTCTTCCCACCCGTTTAGATTGAGAACACCATGTTTATTAACAAGATGAAGGAGCAGCTCTTGCCCACAGAGAAGGGCTGCAGCCTGGCTCCTCCCCACTATCCCGCCTTGCTGACAGTGCCCACCTCTGTGGCCCTACCCACTGGTATCTCCATGGACTCGGACACCAAGCCGGAGCAGCTGACACCACACAGCCAAGCCCCCGTGACTCAAAACATCACCGTGGTACCAGTGCAGTCTGCTGGGCTCATGACAGCAGGTAGGGGACTCCAAAGACTTCGGCAACGTATGAAGGAGACTCCGGGATACGGGTGCGGAGGGTCCTGGGGAATCCTTTTCGGGCTGTAGATTACTCCTAGCCTTACCGATGGTGTGGACTGCCTTGGCATGGTTTCCCTGTGAATCTCTAGGTGCTCCATGCATCCAGCCTCTTTCTGGAAGTTTGACTTCCAGCAGTGGAGACTGGGAACGTGTAGGCTACTCTTCTGTTGGGGTTGTAGTCGAAAGGAGGTGTATAAGGCTCGCTTCTGTGGGATAAGGAGGTCGGACATAATTAGAGATCTCATAACTGACTTCCTCCGTCTGTCTGTCTGTCTTTGCAGGTCCTGGTCTGGTGATAACTTCCCCATCAGGTTCCCTGGTGACCACAGCCTCCTCTGCCCAAACCTTTCCCATCTCAGCTCCCATGATTGTCTCTGCGCTACCCCCTGGCTCGCAGGCAGCCCTCCAGGTGGTTCCTGACCTGTCCAAGAAAGGGACAACCACCCTCTCTGAAGGTGGCGGGGGTGGCGGGGGTGGGGGAGTTGCCCCCAAACCACCCCGGGGCCGGAAGAAGAAACGATTGCAGGAGTCGGGGCTGCCAGAGATGAGCGACCCCTTTGTGCTGTCAAACGAGGATGATGAGGACCAGCACAAGGATGGCAAGACATACAGGTGGGGAGCGGCATTAAATCTCAACTGTAACGTTGCGCGGGGCTGGGGGCGTATTTAACCCTTCAGAGGGTTACACGGGGAAGAAGAGATCTCTGCCTTTTCCCTGTAGAGTCCCTGAGTAGAGAATCTTTCTGCTGCAGAAAGAGTTTTCTCTCTAATCAGGAATGTTTGCAAGCTGATGGGTTGACCCAAAACTAAGGATCTCGTTCTTGGGGGACAGCCTTGATTTCCTGAATATACAGCTGTTCACGCTACTACGTTAGTTAATGACCAGGGTGTTACGGAGCCTGAGCCGTATCCTTGATGCCACAGCTGGGTAGCATGGCTGGTGTACCGCAGAATGCAGTGCGGTCTGGTGCAACTGGAGCGCTTCTGGTGCAACTGGAGCGCTTCTGGTGTACCCAGGTGCCCCAAATTAGGACTCCAGTCTGTCCAGTGTAAAGACTACAAACCGGAGGCACACGCTTTACGGGAAGTGAACTGTGGTGATAGCCTCCGCTCCTGTGTGCGTTGCCCCTTGTGATCTCCTATTTCAGCATTCCCAACAAAATAGGGGAAAAAAAATATATTTCTGAATTAGGTATAAGGGTGTTTCTGAGCCCTAAAGGTATCAGATAAGAGGGGGAGAGTTCTGAGCCCTGAGGTTGGGTTTCTGAGCTTGGAGGGATGTGGCTTGAGTTTACAAGCGAGTGGTGGGAAAGGGAGAGATTAACTAGGAGGGTATACTTAAAGCAGAGGATGAGGAATGTGGATGTTTTAGGAAAGGTGGGAATCGGACAGAGCAGGCCCGTGCTAGGGAGGAAATGTGATGGTCTGTCTTAGTTGGGAAGCAGGAGCTCGGGTGATTTGGTGATAGGTGTGTCTCAGGGATGATTAAGACTGATAAGAGGCAAAGGAGTAGCCAGATGGAAACAGAAACAGGAGATGGTCCCTAGCTCTTCTCGCTTCCCTCCTATGTGCCCGTGATCCTGTCTTGAACAATTTCCCCCTCTTTTTTTTTTTTCTTTTTGCACAGATGTAGTTATGTTTCTGGAATTAAGTCATAACAACATGAAGGCATCTACACAGAGTCAGTTCATCCGCTCCAGGCACCGCTTCGTTTTTAACGATAGCGTTTAAAAAATGTTTACATTTTTAAATCAATACAGTTAAATGGGTACAAAACCAGAGCTTGGATCAGCCTTTTTATTCTCTTACCCAATGTCCCAGTTCTTCCACTTTGAAAATATAATCAGCGTATGGTGAAGAGGGGTGGGAGTGTTAGGTGGCTCGCTATTTGTAATCCCACCATTTATTTTGGGCCTTAGCCACAATTCCACACGACTCAACCTGCTTACAGTCTGGGTTGCTAATTAGGTTGTTAAATATGTATTTACAGGGGACACAATTGGCAGTGAGCACTAGAATTAAAGCTGAACCAAGGCTTTAATTATAGCTCCTTGTTTACTTGTAAGTTTGGAAAAAAATGCCCAAGACCAGGTGGAGTGACTCAGCAGAAACTTTATGAACACGCACAGTCTGTGTAACAGTTCATGAAAAAAGACTTTGCTGGGAAAAAAACAAATGAGTTTATATGTAGGAACATGTAATCGGGAAGATTTTCTGTCTTCATGTTAAACATCCGAGCATGATATCTCTGCCTCTTCCTCCAGCCTCCATCGCAAGCAGGCCTTCCTCTGAGCAGAGCTAAGGTGCAAGATAGCTAAATTGAGATTTTTTTGAAGACTGCCAAGGAGCGTTTCTGCCCTCCTTGGCATCTCCTCTTTGGCTGATGCCTTCCATGTGCAAGTTTGGAACGAAAAAATATTGTTGAAAAAAATAAAGGGAAATGGTATCTTCTCTTGGAGCTGTGGGAGAGAAAACCTTTGTGAAATACAGTAAAATCATTTCTCCATAATATACATATGAATAGACTTGCAAGTTAAAACTTTGAGGACTCCTGGGTTCCTTCTGCATTCTAGAGGACGATTCGGGTAGTTCCCGTTACTACAGCATGCAGGCATATCCTAGCTAAATTAAGACCGTGGGAGAGGTTCATCTACTCCTGCTCCCTTCTGAGGCTGGAGGAGGAGCTGCTTGTGGTATTCATACGTCTATGTTTGTATGATTTCACTGATTCTTACGATGATACGCTGAGGACAATCTAGTCAGATGCCTGAAAGGAGTTGTACTATATTGATCAATATGACTTTTTCTTTTTTTAATACCTAATTCCTAAAGCCTGGCGTTATTTTAGCAAATTGAATTATTTTTTTGGTTTCTAAGTTTCTTTTGGAGCTCTGCGAGCTCTCTTGTCCTGGGCGCCTGGGCAGGTGGCTGATTCCCTAATTCCTGACCCCCGGTGTATTGGCAAAGACAGAGTAAGGCCTTGAATGGGTGACACAGCAAGGCAGCCGTGGAAGGAATCGGAGCACAAAGGTGATGTTCGTCTCACAGCTCATCCCATTCTCTACTGAATGTAGAGATTCCTGCTCCAGCGAATGGCAGCCCTTCTGCTGCTGTGTCCTCTCTAGAAGTGAATTGGTAGTCTGCTGTGAAAGTGGTGCAAGAATCTTCACGACGAGGTTTTTTTCTTTGTAAGAAAAGGTGTGAGGCTTTTGCTAATGATGGTGCTCATTGCAGATCTTGGATATCTAGCCTTAGGATTTGTCTGGCAGAGTCCCCGGTGCTTTGCTTTGTGCTATTAGAAGAACGCTTGCACCTGCAGGGGACAGCATCTAACCTAGTCCTGTGAAGCATTTTCCTTCATGAGTAATGTCGCTTCAGTCTTGTCTGGATTCATTGTCAGCTCTTTGTTAATCTTCCCTGACATCTTTGTAGCATTTACTTTTTTCTGTGGAAAACGAGACCGGCATCAAGAGTCTTTCTAGTAAGATGCTGGCAGCGTGAAGCACGTGGCTTCTTCTCAGTACTTCAAAAGGTGCTGAGGAAGAGAGAGCAAGCGTAGGTCCTGGAGACGGTAGTGTTGTTTCTTAGTACTCTTTCGGTGCATGTACCTGTGGACTTTTAGAAGTTTGTGGTGTGATGTGATCAGTGGACAAGACTTGATGAAGTGGTTCAGCCTATCTGGGCCAGGTCATCAGTTCAATCTCTCTGACAAACAGTTCTCTAAATAGTTTCTTCTTCGCAAGAGGAAGAGAGCTCTTTATAGGCGTTGCTTGGTTCCAGTATTAAGTTTGTAAAGGCTAGGACGGATACCAGTTTATAGTCTGGAATGGTTTTGCAAGCTGTGCGTTGGAGGACCCCAACAGAAAAGGCTTGAGAAGGGCCTTGCCATCAGGCGGTAACCAAGCAGCTCCCTGTTCCCCACCGCCGGTTCTGCGTTTCCCTCCTTTCGCTAGGTTGTGGGAACAGCAGGGGGTTTGGAAGACAACAAGCAGCTGCGAGACGTAGGAAGCTTCTGAGGTACCTCCAGGGTGAAAAAGCGCGGAGAAGCCTTAGAAGGCTTAGCAAGAAGCGGAGTTGAGCTGTAGAGAGCGAAGCAGCTGGATGGAGGCTCTCTTCAGTGAGGAAGTTAGGGGCACGGGGGGGAGACAGCGGTTTGAATACGGCGGGTGGGTATGTTTTCAGACATGTCTCATTTTAAGCCTTCTTTTCGGCCCTATGCTGGATTTAGCATTGCTGTTTGGTGGACTTCCCATGGTTTTGAGTAGATTTGAAATCTGCTGGCTGTGGCTTTTGTCAGCCATATCTATCTGTGAAAATATGGTCAAGTTTGGCCAAGTTGTAAGCTTGGAAAAAAATCTGTCAAGTGTGCTCTGAGATGCTTTATAGTTTGGGAGTTGATATATGCGAAGATTACGTCCTCTTTGACGTTTCTTGAGGCTTGCATGACTCCAGGCACCGACCAGACTGTCCGTCTCCACAGAAGAGATAAATACACTCTAACCTCTCTCAGTTTCTGTATGAGGCTGGGCTACGTGTGTATGCTCTCTGCAGCAAGAAGCATCTTCTAGACTAGCGCTGAAGGGCCAAGCATGCTTTTCCTTCAGTCACAACTGCTCCTTCTGCTTCAGAAGGGAGTCTTTTGTGCCCAGCGTTGCCGGTAACCTCTGATGGGCACGAGGGCAAGGTGCGAGGAGACACCGCTTGGTTCAGATGTCACAAGAATGAGATACAGGCAGGGCCTGGAGCTGATTTTGTCCAAGAAGTCTGGAAACTTGGTAGAGCAGAGATGGGAATTGAAAAGGAGGAGAGGGAAAAGACTAGAGCCTACAAACTAGGGAGTGCAGCTGAGGATGCGATGGAGAGTGTTTGCAAGGGAGAGATGGCACAGAGATCAGCTCTGAAGGACCAAGACTGAGGGGAGGAAGAAAGAGGCAGGTCTGCTAGGGGCTGGAAAGTGAGGAGATACCTAGAATGAGCAGAACTGATGGGTACGAGAGCGTGGGATGTGGACAGAGAAATAGAAGCGTGGGGGAGAGGGGAGAGATGTGAGGTAACTGGGAGAATGGGGATAGGGAGGAGCCACTGCAGTAGAGGGTGAGGAGGCTGTGGCGTGTGGGTAAAGAGCTTGGGCCTGGGTCTTGGTGCAGGAGGGAAGGGATTGCAACAGGCCAGAAGGCTAAGGGCAAAGCGGGAATTAAGTCTGAAGTGTCAGGCAGACAGTTTGACCACATTCCCTCCAAAGCCTAGAAATACTCAACCCAATGTTCCTAAATTTTGCCGCGTCTTCTCAGCACGAGAATGCGACCTCCTCTGGCAAAGAACCTCGTCCCCCTCGAAGGCCAGAAAAAGGTGACAAACGGCCAGTGCTGTCATTTATCACCCCAGCTGCAGTGGCAGAGGGCTGTGCAGTGGATCTTAAGATTGCTGATGACCAACGTGGGTGTCGGCGTGATGCCACATGTTGGAATTTCTGTTTGCTTTTTTTAACAAGTAGTTCCGTGAGCAGCGGAACTAATGAAGCCTGGTTCCCAGCGGCTCTCTCCTGTGTGGATTCTCTGATGTCTAACCAAGGGTGAGCTTCCTAGCCTTTCCCTCAGCAGGGGGCTCCAAGA